TGTCACGTGTGGAACAGGATTTCCATGTCCTACCTGGGTGGTAAAAGAATTGAGCCCGGACAACCTGTTGCTTGCTCGTGCTGTTCCGGACACCCCGGTGCGGTTCAACTGAAAGGTGTCATCGTAGGTCGGTTGCAACCTGCAGGCTGGCGTGCAGAAGTGACCACAAGTTGACCACAGCAGGCTAACATGTAACATAGGCCAACAACGACCCACATTTTGTTTTTCGCACGTGTGGTTGTTTGTTCGAGCGGCACCAAGTCCTTCATCCCAAACAGATCTGAGTGGAATACGCCCTGGAAGATCAATATCGGAACTTGAACACCATTGGGTTGTAGCGGAAAGTCGTCTTTCAAAGGTCCATTTTCAGTCCATTTTCAGGTTCAAACGTCCATTTTCAGGTTCTATGTTGATCTTCCCAGGTGTATTTCTTGCTGTCCATCAGGTCCCAGCACGCCGCAGCATCTCCGAGACCTTGCGGGCGGCCTCCACGGAGGCGAGTTCGTAGCTTGCTTTACCTCGGCTGCCCGCGTAGGGTCGAACGTGAACATGGGCATTTGGTTGAGAAACATGTAGTACCCGACAAGTTTTCTTTGCACCACGGTGATCAGCATGCCAGGTGCTCCAGTTCCCCAATTCCTGCGCCCACTGCAACCTCGTCCATACAAAGAATTTCAACTCTTGCCAAATGTTTCTGAGATAGACTGACCGACCAGAGGAACGTCGGTGGGGGGGGGTCTCGGGGCCGCTGGGGTCCAAGTCCATTGGGGTCGCCAGACGTGCGCTATTTGAATCAGACACTCAAGGACACTCAAAGACACTCAAGGATGTCCTTGAGTGTCTTTGAGTGTCCTTGAGTGTCTGGTCTATATTTTGGATAGCCTTGAGTGTCCTTGAGTGTCTGGTCTTTTTGGATAACCGTGAGTGTTTTTGAGTGTCTGGTCTTTTTGAATGCAATGAGTGTCCTGGAGTGTCCTTGAGTGTCTGGTCTATTTCTTGGATGATCTTGAGTGTCCTTGAGCGTCCTTGGGTGTCGTCTAGTTTAGCTTTCATATAGCATTCGTGGAACTCTGGATCCTTAGGAGTACAAACTCCAACAAAAACCGGGAAACCTTCGCAGGACTTAGTGGCAAGCGTCTTTTTGATGATGCACTAGCTTTATAAGGATTTTTTTTGCCCACCCTATTTCCGCACACACACACACATTGTGGGGAGGGCAATGGTATTCCTGGGCGAAAGGGGCCCAAAAACAAAAGGTGAACAACGAGGCAAACAACAAGAACGCAGTCAGAGGAACCATCGGAAGCAAACCCAGATTGCTTTGATGCATACGTTACTGGCTAGTTGACAAAAACGACATACATAACACACCTTTGTGGTGCAATGGGGGCAACCCACCCACCGCTTTCCTGTGCCTTGTGCTCGGCGCTCTTCGGGGACATTCTTGCGCAGCCTTGCCGAAATGGTGCTCAAATGCAATGACGTTGAGCAGGGTGGCCTTCTGTGTGCTCCCAGCCACCTTTGGGTAGCAGAAACGAATACCATGATCAGGTCTGGAGGCTGCTCCACCCAAAAAGATGGCACGTGACGGTTTGACGCTCTCCAAGTCCATTTTAGACACCGTGCACCCTACAGTGAGCCAGGAGGAGCCCACAGAGGAGATTTTTGACCAGCTGCTGGAGCATCTGGAGGAGTCCCTCATGCAAGCAGCCTGGCTCTGGCTCTATGATTGAGAGGCGAAATTACAGTAGTTCCGTTGGCTTCATCATGAAAGCATTGAGAGGTGTCATGAAGATTCAAGGATACCCTCCTCTTTGCCTAGCAGGCATTTCTTCTCCTCTCCAGACAAGCGGCAAATGACAAGCAGAGATGCAGATGACAGAAGCGCTCCGAGGTTGAGCTTTCGCAGCACCACGCTGTCTTGCTGAAGCGTGCGGAGCTGCACCTGCTCAGCTTGCTGGGGGGGCTCCGGGACTTGCTCATGAGGCGGGGGTTCGGGAAGGAGTTACTTGCTCATGAATGTTTGCAACCCCCAAGGCTGTGTCCCCCGCTTCTTGAGCCTCACACAGCCGTGCAAATGATTTCTCTTGGCCGGCTGACGCCTCTTCCTGGTGTCAGGTCCTTGCGCAGCCAAGCCCGAAGCCGCATGGCGGACTTGGTTGGCTGCGCAAGGGCTTCGCGGCTGCGGGCGGTGCTGGACTCCCTGCACTTGTCCGCAGGTGCGTGAAGCTGGGTTGGTTGGCAATGCTCTCGTGCCCAAAAGACAGGTGTTTGTAGTGGTCCAAGCAGAAATCCTCGATGTACTCAATGAACTCATTAGGCGGATCCTTGCAGTTTCTGTAGAAGCAGGACCCATTTTGCGAAGCAAGAGCACTGGTGGCTACGGACTGTATGTACATGTATGTACTTTGAAAGTTGAATATGTGCACTTGCAGGGACATTGCAAGGTTACAGAATTTGCAAGGCTAGGAATAGAGTTGATCGAGTTGGGAACTTCTGGGGCACTTGCCTTTGGAGGCCGCTGCACCGATGACCGGGTTGCCAGCTGCCGCGTCGCTTGCGACGCGGTGGATGGCGTCCTGGGGGACTTCGGGCTTCAGGATTGGGCCGCGATGTGCGAATTGAAGAGTTTTTTTGCAAACCATTGGCTTGTGGTCATCGGGTTTGTAACGAATTGCTGCCAAGTTTGGGGCACCAAATCATGCCACATCGGTCAATCAGCCAACATTTCTGGTACATTCTGGTACTCTCTACCTGTGTCTGTGCTCGGCCAGGCGACCTTGCGGCAAGTGTCACCTGGCAGATGGGGAGGGGCATGGAGGAACAGTTTTCAAAACTGTGGGGTACTATACACCCTTAGACTCTTAGAAGTTGCTGGTTCATGTTGCCTTGGGCTGAAGTCATCTCTTTCGCCGACACTCATGTTGAGCATCGTTGAGGCAAGAGGAGAAGCGCCTGGCCCTGCAGCAAGCGCTTGAGCAGAAACGTTTGGAGGATTCTGGGTCGAACAGTTGTCACAGAGAAGGATTTTTTTGGAGGCACACCCAGGGCCGGTGCCAAGATGCCAAGGAAGCGCAGCTGCAGAAGTCACGGGAGCGGCAGCAAGCTGAGCTGCGCAAGACGCAGGAGGAGCAACGTGCTGCTTTAGCGCAGGCTGAATGGTCAAAAATGGTAAAATAAATAGCAGCCCTTGGCGACGCGCGCGGGAAACAGTTGTGTTTTTACAGACCCTGTTAGTTTTGTTTTCGGATTTAACCTTAGCAGTTTGTCGACCCGTTTCACAATATGTTTTGCGACCGTCCTCCAATCGAAGGCCTTGCAGATTCGTGTTGTGGATGACCTGGAGCACACCTCTATGTCGGCTGTGCCCAAGCGGCCTGTGCGGGTGGTGCCTGATTTTCCACGAGGCGGATGGGAGGTATGTCTCCATACATTGATGCTTCAAAAGAGGTTGCGAATTGGGATATGGATGAATATATGGAGGTTTAGGGTTCTTTGCAGTTTTGAAGATTCATGCCTGGTGTGTTTCAAGTGGGTTCTCTTTTTTCTGCATCGTCTAATCGCCACTGGCAGGCAATGCTTGCCTGGTGCAGTGGTTCTTGGACTATGCCGAGGCCTTGCTCAGCGAGGCCACTAGGAGAGACACGCTCACTTGCCATGAGAGAGGCATTGAACTGGGACTTCATCAGGATGGTGGCGCTCGAATGCGGAACGTAATCCCCAAAAAACAGACTGCTAGAATACGGAATGCGGTGTCCTTTTGCCAACCATTGGCCTTTGGAGCAATTTGAGGGTGTGTTTTCACAGATTGAACTTGCTTTCCTGACCATGTGTCCTTTGGAGCTACGTAGGTCCTTTGCTTCTTGGATGGTCTCAGCCTCACCTTCCTGGAGCTTTGCAGCACCTGGTGGCGCCGCCTTGCAACTTGCTCAGGGAGTTGCTGTATGCGTTAGGGTTCAAACGCGAAGAAGAACGGGCCCATGATAGCCAGAGTGCAGTATTTACAAGGCGGGCCTCTGACGCATGGTCCAAATATGAGAGACAGGCCCAAGCAGCTTTGTACCCGCCTCGCCGTTGAAGATGCGGTGTTTTCCCTGCTACTAGAACTTGGCTAAGATCAAGTGCTCGGAGGTTGGCGATGGCCGCATTGTTGTACATCGTACGCATTCCTAACCATTCAAGGGTAAAACAAAAAAGGATTAAAAAGGTACAGTATATATCCAGGACAAACCATTTAATTACTGACCACCATTTATGATCCCTTGGCTTGTTGCCCGGTTTAGCAAACATACTCCATAGGGGCAGACTGTCAAACGGGCTTTTTGATCTGTAGACTTGACCCAGATTCAACCAACACCAACATGAACAGGAACCCTCCACCAACATGAAAGTGAGTTGAACACTTGGATCTCTTGCTTGTCACCTGAGGTGAGCACCAATCTCGCCGGTGTGTGGCGCTTCATTCACTTGTGCGCTTTGGGCGCTCGTCCGCCCATGTCCTTGGCCCGCCCGCCCAAGGGTGTGACCCGAGGCGGGGATCTTGGAGAGGTTCGGACTTTGATTCACTTTGGAATGAAAGTCATGGAATTGGTTCGGACATTTCAGGGAAATGCTCGCGTTTTGGAATGAAGGCACTCTTTGATGATTTTGTGTTGGCTAATTGCTTCAGAACATTTGTCGACCTCTGTGGTTTCATATCCTTCACATCCCTTTCCTTAAAGGTTCCAAAGACACTGTGAGTGGTGATCCTGAGTGGTGTTTTGTCGTTCTTACTCTTCCTCTGCCTCTGCTGCCTTTGCTGCCTTTGCTGCCTTTGCTGCTGCTGCTGCTGCTGCTGCTGCTGCTGCTGCTGCAGTCCAACAGGTGGCGTTGGCTTTGAACATAGGCCCTCGGTGGATGCAAATGTTTTCAATATTCAACCTCATTCATTGGCGGGCAACTGGCTGGAGTCGCAAGTCTTTTTGGCCCAGGAGCAGTGTCAGATTGAAGTCTTGGAAACTTCTGCTCCATGTCCAGGCGGCGGCCCGTGGAAGCAGCTCTGGCTAGCACACCGGTGGCTGCTCGCCGAGCCTGACGGGCGTCAGCGAAGCGTGGCCTTCGAGCAAGCGCGGCTGCTGTTGAGTCCGGGATCACACGCAGTGGTGCAACCCATGAAGCCCAGCCAGAGGTTCTTGATAAACATCATTAAGATCCTTGGTAGTCATTAATCTACGATGTAGGCAGGCTGAATATCATGGATGACTTCTGCAGAGGAAGGGGGCAATGCTTTTTGGTTGCGAAGTATGAAAAGGGGGGTTCAGAGTTCGGACACTGTTCTTGCACGTAAAGGTTGCAGTTGTAGTTTTTAGATCAGGAGTTTTCATTTGGCCCATGCTGGCTTGATGGTGCTTAGGAATTGCTTGGATGGCAGTTCTCAGCCCGACCCACGCTTTGGTCCACTGCACAAGAGGCTGGGGCATTTTTTTCAGCGCTTCAAAGACCGACGGCTCCGGTCTCCAGCAGTTCATGCTTGCTCTTTTCTGCTTCAAATTCTTACTTTTTTGTTTTTTTTTGCTTGTCTTTTCGGGGCTTTCGGTAAGGCAGTCTCAAGGCAGTATCTAGATCTGCAAGATTTTCAATGATCAGTATTGGACGGTTTCCATTCGGTCTGCCGAACCAGGTGGTGCAGCCACTTGATGGTTGGGGCGGAAGCAATGGTGACCCATGCGAATGGTGTGCCCTGGCCCGTTGGGGCAACACATGGCGAAATAGAGCGCATTGGGGTGGAAACGCTCGAGCGTGGGGTTTCTTGAACATAGACCTGGGCGGCCGAGGTGCAGACCAACCACGAACAGCTATACATGCATCTTGGCAGCATGTTTCTCATTTTCATGCTTGGGAATGGAGTAGGTTGAAGTTGCTGATTGCACGCACGTCCCGATTTTGCAGGTCCTGGTCGGTCTGCTTCTCCGCGATGCAGGGCTTGCCTCGACTCTTCCTCGCATCTGCGCGAGAGGCGCAAAGCGCTTGGGAGGCGCGAGTTTATGTAAATCTGCAGTGGTGTGATGGACATGATTCTGATATTTTGGATTAGTCGTTCTTAGTGCAGTGGTGACAGTAGTGGTATGAGACCCTTTGCAAGCCTGAACAGAATGACAGATTGGACAGTTGATGAGCTTCCAACATCTCACAACTGGCACTGGGGTTTTGCCAGCGAACGTCTTCTTGTATTTTGTGGCAGGTGGATCTTGCTGAGTGCAGGCTGCCTCCTAAGGCGCCACTTCCTTGGGCAGCTGCGGCTCAGGCCCCGCTGTGTGGGCCTTCTCAACCTCCCAACTTCTTGAGGGTGCTTCCACTTTCCCCATTGACGGTAAAGGAGCTTGATGTGGCATCATGTGGCATCCCCTCATTCTGAGACAAATCGCAAACCAGGACAATCTCTTTCTTGATGTTTGTAGGGCAAGTGTCCCAATGACACTCCGTTGCCGCCTGGTTCTACTTGGAGCACTATAGTACATGCCCTACAGTGAATCTTGGTAAACACCTCTTCACTCAACTCCACATGACAGGTCGCGCCGTACACCCGTCTACACACCGCGCCGTACGCGACCGCGGTTTCCGCTCAGGAGATCCATGAGCTCCGCGCCGCGGGCCGCCCGTTGCGCTCCGGGCTGTGCGATGCCGTGGAGCTCTGCAGCTTCCGGCGGCTCGGTGTGGATCGGTGTGGGTCGTTGGGCATGGTGGGTGGTCGGGTCGTTTGAGAGTTCGGACCGTCCCGGCCACGGGATGCGTGTGACTTCGTAGAGCGCTGGTCCCCCGAGAAGCCAAAAACGGGTTGCAGATGGGCGGGCGTTCGCTTGTTCTCCATCTGCGAATCAACCAGCCACTCGGTCTTGCTTGCGGGTGCAGTGAGGGTCTAAAGCACTTCCGGAACTTTGGGTGTTTCGATTGGGGAAGTGTTGGCCCCAGTGGGTGCTTGCGAGGAAGCACCCTCGAAGCTGACCAACCGATCGGTTGGTGAAGGTGAGCTTTCTCCCTGACCAGTTTGTAAGTTGCGAAGAGTCAGGAAGAAACCTATTCGCTGAACGTTTGGGACGACCATTCCAACTTTCCAATACACCAAAAAGAGCCTCATTGGCACGAATTGGCAGGCCCTTTATTGTGACATACCGATGGGATCCAATGTGGCTGTTTAGAGACATTGAAGATGCCAAGAGACTCGGGTCACATTCCAATCCGTTGCGGGCTGAAACCCTCCGTCTCGACATGTATGGACATTGTGGCTTCGGTGTTCTCTTTGGCTAATGAAATGCCTCACCTTCTTTGTTCACTTGCTCGTTCGTCTGCTCTGATTCGCTCTGATAGAGCCGGGAGCCGAAGACGGTTCCTTTTTGGCCGAGGCTGCAAGGGCCGCAGTGGTCGCTTGGCTAAGCAAGGAGCTGCGAAAAAGAGGAGAGGTTGACCCTGTTTACCCGGCGGCTAGGCAAACAAGACAAACGCCCTGCGCCTGGAAGCAGCGTGGCCTGCCCACCCAGCCGAAGCTAGGAACACTCCTCATGTCAAGATTACTGAGGCGTGCGCAGCAGGTGCAGCTTGCAGTGTCGGAGTATTGGCAGCATCTTCACAAGGACTGCAGCCGTTTCGCCGTTTTGGATGCCTTTTCCTGAGCCTAGGGACCAGGGAAACCGCAGGTTCCTAGTCGAATTGGTACCACCATTGTTAATCTCACCTTCTTTTGCCCCATCGCTGAGATCCCGCACCTTATGAGTTTAGTCTTTTTGTTGGTCATTGTGTTCGCTTCCTTGTTGTGTTCGCTTCTTTGATGTCCATGTTACACCAAGCCGTTCCAAGTTCCACATGCTTGGATCAAATGCTGGGTACGTGGGGTCCGGCTTTGTATGCCTGAAAAAATGCGTTTCCCTTTCATAGTCCTCTTCTTGCCGAAGCCCTCGAGAATCACGGGGTCCGTTTGGAGAAATGAGACCTGCGGCCTGCTTCGAACCATGCCCCGCCTCGGCAGTCTGACCCGTTTCCGTCGGGTGCTTGTATACAGATTGAAGAACCGCTCCCTGTGACTATCCTTAAAGTGAGCTTGACAGTCCTTGTCCAGGAACTCTTTGGGCTGGAGCGAAGCCAAACGCACGGCTTCTTGCTGAAGAGATACATGCAATTGAAAAAACATCACGAGAGGAGTGTTGTCTTTCAGTCGCACATGTCCCTGTGGTCCAGGGGCCAGTGAAATTGTCTGAAAACCATGAGTTTTGTGTGTCGTTCTCGGATCAACATGTGAGTACCTGATACATCTTGATACAAGACATGTTTGCAGTTCCCCCCACCTTCGACTGCCACGGTCCCAATTTCTTTTTCCTTCAGGTCGATCCGCCGATCGCTGCTTGCAGCTGCTCTTGGCACTGACGTGCCCCAAGCCCTTTGCCCAGGAGCCTCAAAAGCACCTTGGCGTCGAGCAACGGCCCTGTCTGCCGAAGAGACCAACGCTCCACGTGTGGTCTCGCCGCACGAAAGTGCCAGGGGGTGCGCTCCGAGACGAATGGACCCTGTGGTCGAAGATGGCCCCCCTGGAAGAAGGCTTCCGATACCAACCCAGTTTTCAGGGCCCGTCGAAACACTCTGGACCAGGGGTCAGGAAGGGTGTTTTGATTCCCTGAAGCAACGACATTTGGTCAAAACCCAAATGAACAGATTCCTTTATATATATGGTTGAATGTCCCCATAACTAAACACGAATCAGTGGTATATCCCACGTAGCTTTGGGCTCGACAGGGCTTATGCCAGTTTGTGCCACGTGCAAGAAGTGGCACTTGCTGGCTGGGAAGTGCTCGGTGTGCACTTCGGCAGAGAGGTTGTGGGCGGCTTGCACTTCGGACCGGCTGCCTGCAACTGCTGAGGCGGAAGCGAAGGTTACCAAGTGCTTGGACGGAGCATTTTACTCCATCTCGCGGCTGGTCCCCGACAGCGAGGAAGAGGCCGAGAAGGGAGCGGCGGCTCCCAGCAAGCCGCTCAAGAAGAAAGACCCTAAGGGAGAGGCGTCTCCCAGAGCGACTGAGGTGGAGAAGAAGGAAAAGGGAAGGAAGCCCGACAGCCCGCCTGTGAGGAGTCAGAAGAGTGACAGTTCGAAGGAGGAAAGAGACGAGAAGAAGGTCAACATCAAAGAGGAGAAGCAAAAGCCTATTGAGCCGTCAAGGAGTGAAGGAAGCAAGGTATTACCCAAGAAGAAGGAGGACGAGGAGCATAAGAAACCAAGGAGCAGAACTCCATTGAGACAGAAAGAAAAGGACAAGAGGAAAAAGGATAAGAAAGAGAGTCGATCATTGTCAGTAAGTGGGTCAAGAACGAGGAAAAAGAAAAGGGAGGACCATTCCCCCCAGAAGGCTGAGGTGAGAGAAGGAAGGTCAGAGGCGAGGCCAAGCTCTGGGATTCAGAGAGAGGCGTATCTTCGCCCTCGACCCAGTCAGAGAGAAGCGAGATCTCCGAGGACTCCTGATCATCCACCACCAAGGACTTCGTTGATTCCCCCTGCAACAGGCCGAGGAATAGATCGAGGTCAAGGTTGGCGAGGCCCGGTTCCATACTCCAGTCATCCACGCTGGAGTGAAGGGACGAACAAAGGAGTGACGAAGAGAGCGAAGCAGGAACTCTACGACAGAAAGCAGTCGAGAGGGCGGTGGTAAGGGGAGCAATGGCTCCCAAACTACGGCGACCTGCAGCCATGCCTGCCCGGGTTAGGTCACTGAGGCGGCCAGCCAGGGCATCAGGCGAGGCAGAAGAGGAGGCAGAGAAACCCACTACAGAGGAGTACAATACCCTGGCAGCGTTGACCCTTGAGAGGTTGAGGTCGTTAGACATTGTAGAGCTTGGAGAGACTTCGTATTATGGAGGGCATGCGAAGATAGCCGGCCGGATTTTAAGCCTGAAGCCTGCCGAGGAAGAGGTTGAGTTCGAGCTGAGTGGCACTTTGACCGATCGTGTCCTTGAGCGTTTTGGTGGAGGAAGCACGAGAGTTGTGAAGGTGCATGCATGTCCAGAAGGGTGTACGCAATTGATCACGGGCGACACCTATTTCCATGCCAGAGGGTATTGGGACACTAAAGTGGCACCCAAGCCATGGCACACGAATCTCATCCCGGCCAAGGGTGCAGTTGAGGAGGAGGTGGATGAGCTCGCAGGACTTCGTGAACTCGCCCTGGAGAGGGGAAAGGGAAGGGGAGGCAGCAACCCTCCCAAAGAGAAGGAGCAGAAGGAGCGGAGCAAGTCGCCGGTTGGAGGAGACGAGAAACGAAGCAAGAAGAGAAAGAAGAAGGAGAGGACAGCAGAGAAAGAGTATGAAGACTTGCTAGCGAAGAAGGAAGAGGTAGAAGAGCTCGAGCGAGGCCAGAAGACCGCAAGGGCCCTCTTCAGCAATACCTGCCTGGATCCGAATGTGCCGCGGCGGAAACGCCTCATGAGGAAAGCGAGGAAAGTGAGCAAGAAAAAGGATAAGAAAAGGAAGAGGTCAGACTCAGGAGATTCAGGGTCATCGAGTTCCTCATCAGATGCCAGTGAAGGGGGGTCGGAGGAGGAAGGACCGCTCTTCGATGAAACCAGGAGGATCCGACGCCTTAGCGAGAAGTGCCCGGGTGCTTTGACAGCTCAGGCGATTGAGAATGTCCGCGAGCATCTCCTTTCCTCTCGAGGGGAGTTGCATAGCGTGTCGCGGGAACAGCTCACTCCGTTGTTCTCGATGTACGCGTACCAGCACTTACAACCCCTCGCAAGTCCGGTTCTTTGGCAGGAGTTGGCAACTGTATCTCAGGTTTCCGACCTGCTCCTTCGCAGGAAGGTGGCAGCTGCTCTGGACGTGCTCGTCCAACGAGCAAAGTCGCTCGAAGCGACCCTCCGTGGTGGCCACTTTTCAGTGTCACGCCAACTGGAGCTTGTCAATGCGGAACAAGTTCGCATCGCGGAGCCGGCCGAACAGATGGAGGCTGCCAAGAGTGCGCGCGATGAATTTCGCAATCGATCCATTGGCAATCGACCTCATGGAATGGCCCAACGCGGAGACGGAGACCATCAACCAAAAGGACGTGGCAAGCCTGTGCCAACCTCAGAACCCTCGTACAAGCAGAAAGGAGGAGAGAAGGGAAGAGGAAAAGACAAAGGCAAATGGGGAAAGAAAACGAAAGAGGAGAACTGAAGAGAGGGACTGAGGATGAGAGCACAGGCATTGAGAAAAGAGGAAAAGGGTCAATCACAGAGGGGAAAAGAAAAGGCCAGGAGAAAGAAAAAGAGAGGAGAGAGGAGGAACAGACGGTAGAGGAGGCTATTGAAGAGATGTTGACAGAGTGCTATGAGAAGGCTTTTGAAAAGGAAGAGATGGCGAGTGACTATGACCTTGGAGGCGGGTCTGGAGGCCGCAAGAGGCCCCTGGACACACCGGGCCAAGGGAGGGAGACAGCAACAGCCTCCCAAGCTGATGTGAGGAGTAAGCAATTGGCAGGCTTGGGCCGCCGACAGCGCCAATCGTTAGCTGAGGAGAAGCTGAAGACAGGTACAGGGGAGGTTTGGATATCCTCCCAGACTGCATGTGAGCGCTTGCCACGACGAGATCCCTTGCCGGGCCGTGGGGAGCTCCTTTTTTCAGGACAGCCTATACCGCGACTGGCTTTGACGCCGTGCCGTGGAGACGAGGCATTGACAGAGCATGGGGCCACAAGTCGTGGCAGTTGGCACTGAAGAGCGCGTGTGCCAGAAAAGAAAGTATGTGGAGTGATTTGGGTCACGCATTGTCACAGTCCCTGGAGGTGTTGTCACAGACCACGCGTTGCGGGCAGTCCACGGAGGGTATCTTTCCCCTCCCACTTCCAGGGAGTTTAGGATGGTGCGAACAAGATGATCCCCTATTAGAAGGGCTTGTCAGAGGCTTGAACAGCCTTTTTGGGGTGGCTTCGGCAGGAGGAAGAAAGGCTTCAAAGGTGCAAAGGAGGGTTATGGAAAGATTGAAGGAGGTGCTTAGGTCCAGTGGCCTGCCCGGTGCGGTTCTTCCGGCTCTATCTTTCGGGGAGTTTTTCACCACAAAAGGGATTGACTACTCAGGTGAAGAGGTTCGAGTTGCCAGGTCTTTCCAATGGAAGATGATTGCCGCTGCTTTCCCAGAGGGTGTTGGTTCTTTGGATCTGTTGAGTTTCTGTGAGGGAGGCACCCTTTCCTATGTGACGGATTTTGAGAGCTTTCTTTTGCCGCCCCAGGATCAAAGCCTTGGGAAGACGCCGGCCACCATGGTCAGCCAAGAGCACTGGGCGGAGGTGTGCCGGGGACTGGTTGATCGGGGGGTCTGTGGGCTCATGAGAAAGGAAGAACTTTTCCATGTGCAAGGGCGTCCAGTTCTCAACGGTCTTTTTGCAGTAGAGAAGGGTGAAAGAGCAGTGGATGAAAGAGGCGAAGAATTTGAAGTTTGCAGGCTTATTATGAATTTGGTGCCAACCAATGGGCTGTGCCGAAACTTGGTGGGAGACACATCTACACTACCTACGGTTACAGGGATGTCGGGAACGGTCCTAGGAGATGGGGAACTGCTCTTGACGTCTTCAGAAGATATAAGGTGTTTTTTCTATTTGTTTCGGACGCCTCCAGAGTGGCACCGTTTCATGGGATTTGGAAGGGAGGTCCCGCCTGAGGGCCTCCCAGCTGGATACACAGGCAAAGGCTGGCATCTTGTTAGTAGGGTCTTGCCCATGGGGTTCATCAACTCCGTGGCAATCGCTCAGCACGTTCATCGCCGGGTGATCCAGCAAGCCCTTGGAGGAGAGAGAAAACTAGCAGGAAAGCAGCAAGAGATCAGGCGAGATCGACATCAAAGCTCGGCAGCTCACCAGTACAGGGTTTACCTTGACAACTACGATGAGCTGAACAAGGTGGACAAGCGGTTAGCAGAAACATTGCAGGGAACTCCATCGGCCTGGTCGCTTGCGGTGCGAGAGACGTATCAACAGCTGGGGTTGCCTCGGCACCCCAAGAAGGCAGTCACCCAGGAGGTTCGTGCTGAAGTGCAGGGTGCTTGGGTGGACGGTGAGCGAGGTCGTGCCACTCCGAAGTTGGACAAGATAGGCAGGTACGTTCGACTGGCACTTGAGATCTGTTTAGCTGGCAGAGCTTCGCAGAGAGAGTTGCAAGTAGTCGGCGGAGGCTTCGTGTACATTGCTATGTTTAGGAGGCCGTTGTTGTCCGGCTTGAACGCGGTGTGGAAGCAGGTAACTGAATTGGGCCAGTGTGGGGCGACAGTCAGGAGGGCGTTGCCGCCGGAGGTGGCGCTTGAGCTGTTACGTTTTGTCGCGTTGACTCCCTTGGCGTACATGGACTTTCGCCTAGGCACTTCTGAGCTAGTGACGGCCAGTGATGCCTCCACTACGGGAGGAGGACTCTGCGTGAGCAGAGAGCTCAGCCCTTTCGGTGTTGCTGCGTGTCAAGCTGAATGTCGCGGAGATGTTGTTGAGCCGGAGGAGATGGATCAGGTCCTCGTTGTGTCGCTTTTTGACGGCATCGGTGCTCTCAGGGTTGCGTTGGATGCCTTGCGTGTGCCAGTCGGGGGGTACGTGTCGGTTGAGATATCTCCGGAGGCCAATCGGGTTGTGGAGTCTTTCTTTCCTGATGTGGTTTGTGTCGGAGATGTGGCCTCCATCACGGATGAGGACGTGCTACAGTGGAGGATGCGTTTTGCCAACGTGGGGCTTGTACTGCTAGGCGCTGGACCCCCGTGTCAGGGAGTCTCAGGGCTAAACTCTGATCGTAAGGGCGCATTGCGAGATGAGCGGTCCTGCTTGTTCCAACATGTCCCCAGGGTAGAAGCGATGCTCAAGGCGCATTTCAAATGGTGCCCCGTGCACAGACTTGTTGAGAACGTTGCATCGATGGATGCGAATGATTGCACGACTATGTCTTCAGCCTATGACACTCTGCCTTGGAGCATTGATGCAGGTGGGATCAGTCTAGCGCGGAGGCCACGTCTATACTGGTGCAGCTGGGAGCCCTTGGAATTTGAGGGTGCAAAGGTGTCTGAAGGGAGGGAAGGGTCCCTCCCAGTCAAAGGCAAGGTCGAGCTCCAGACGATGGTTGATGAACGCGACTTCCTGGAACCAGGGTGGCAGCGCATGCGGTCAGAGGCTCCTTTTCCTACCTTCACAACGTCTCGGCCTTCGATGGTTCCCGGCCGCCGGCCAGCAGGATTGGCCCTCTGCCCTCCAGACGCAGTGGCTCGGTGGAAGGCTGATCAGCATCGTTTTCCACCATACCAGTATCGCTCCGAGAACTGTGTCACAAACCGCCAAGGTGAGTTGCGAGTCCCTTCAGTCCGAGAGCGTGAGGTGATCCTAGGGTTTCCCATGGATTACACAAGGAGGTGTCTTGTCAAAAGCATGGAGGGGAGTACAGCGCATAGCGATTGCCGCTTGACGCTTCTTGGAAACAGTTGGTCGATCCCTGTGGTCGCATACTTGTTGTACTGCCTTTTCCGTACGCTAGGTCTGCTGCCGTCTTTGAGCCTGGCTGCATTGGTGGAGAGGTTGACGCCCGGTCGAGAGCAGTTCTTGTCTAGTCTTCTGATGAGGCCTCCGGTGCGACAGACTACCAAGGCAGGCAGTTCACAGTTGGGATTGGTGTCGCGGTTGATGGGGCAGGTGTCAGTGAAGGGAGAGGATATCCTGCTTCAACTGGGATCCGATCTCCCAGCTCGCTATCACCGGTTGCGGGCGTCTATTCCAAGTAAACTTTGGCGGTGGAAAGACGTTGCTGGCTGGCGCTGGACTGGAGATGTCGAGCGCATCAATGCCTTGGAGTTGAGGGCCGTCAAGACGGCCGTTGTTTGGCGTTTGAAAGAACTTGAGGAGAAGGACTGTCGCTTTCTTCATCTGGTCGATTCCTTGGTTGTGTTGCATGCCTTGTCAAGAGGGAGGTCGTCTAGCCGAAGGTTAAGGAGAACCTTGTGTCGAATCGCAGCGCTTCAGTTGGCAGGAGGACTCGTTGGGGTTTGGGGGTACGTTGACACCCACCAGAACCCCGCAGATCGGCCTTCGCGCCGACCTCTTCGCAAGAAATGGGTAAGAAGACCACGAAAGTGATGGAAGGAAAGAGCCAACAAGAGCGCAAAAAGGTTCGAAACAAGCTAGGTTCGCTAAAAGGGCTTACAGTGCAACCCCGTACAAGGCAACGCTACACAGAATGTCTTAACCGCTTCTTTGACTGGATGGCAGGGGAGGGGTTGTCCCTCCCAAAGCAGCAAGTTCGACTGGATGCCTTAGTGAGCGACTATTTAGAACATCTCTGGGCTTCAGGAGAAGGCAGATCCGTCGCTAACAACACCCTGGCCGCTCTACAAGACAGAGACCCTTCTCTAAAGAAGAAACTCCCCGGAAGTTGGAGGTTACTCAAAGCCTGGACCACTGTCGAAATCCCTAACCGTGCACCACCGATGACCCTTCAAATTCTGGATGCTCTCTGCGGATGGTCCATTTTCAATGGTTGCCCGGAGTTTGGCTTGTCCCTTCGAATCGCCTTCTATGGCCTACTTCGTACAGGTGAATTGCTGAGCTTACGAGCCAAGGATGTTTTCATCCCGGGGCCCAAGGGGCCAGCAGTTTTGTCACTAGGACTGACGAAGGGAGGTGCCCGCCAAGGGGCAGCGGAAAGTGTGACACTGCGTGAACGTTCCATCCTCCCAGACCTCTGGAAATGGAAACAAGTTTCTTCCCCTTCAAAGTTTTTAACCCTCAAGCCACACGCGTGGCGAGCGCTCTTTACCAAAGCCATAGAGGCACTCAAATTGAATGACCTGCAATTCAGACCTTACAGTCTGCGCAGAGGGGGCGCGACGTTTTGGTTCAACCAGCGCGGTTCGTTTGATAAATTGCTAGTGCAAGGCCGGTGGGCCGCAGCACGCACAGCTCGAGTGTACCTCAACGACGGCCTAGCACAGTTGGCCGATATGTCTCTGTCGAATTCGGTTTTAATCCCTTATGTGAATCTATACCGCAAGAGCCCAAACCTTGAGCCTGGACCCCCTCAAGGGGGGTCCAGGACAGGGGGACGTGGAGCCAAAGCCAAGAAGGGTAGAAAGGTTGAATTTTTGCGCTTTTTCTGTCAT